CAGGCCACTCCATCCTCAGCCTTGAGGCTCTGGCGAAAAACTATTTCGGTGATGCTCTTGCCCGCCTGGTGGGCCAAGAAAGGTCGGCGGTGCTTTGCCTCCCATTGTCTCGCTTCAATTTGTCGGACCTTGGACCATATTCGGTAAAGCCCTGGCATCATCCCTATTCCTCGGAACTGGGCCATAGTCTTAGCCTCTGGCTTCGCTTGGTCTTGGGGATCATAACCGAGACAACAGCCTGCAGCTGGGTGGGCATCGCACCTATCTTCTCGACCAGGTGCAAATATCGGCAGACTGGCGCAGCCTGCTCCAAATTCAGACTCTGAAAATGCTTCGGGTGGAACCCATCCCATGTCGAAGCTGTCGTAAGCGAGAAGCGTTTAGCGGCGTCTATGAGGCGCTGGGGCTCGATGGGTGGCAGAGAGGGCTCATGAGGGCCAGCGGGGACATGATAGTGGGGCCTGTGGTAGGTCGTGCCCCAAAGCCCTCCAAGTCTATCAGCCTCGTGTTCCAAGACGTGTGAGGGTCTACCAGTCCAAGTGCCTTTCCAGGGGACCTCGTTGGGGCTCCACGCGTCGAGCATCTTAGTCCATCGGTGAGCCCACCCTCCGTTTCCTTGCGTCCCAATATGCGCCCACTCGCGCCATGCTTTATTGGCAGAACGTTTTTCCAGGTCTATCTCGACATCGAGGCTCTTATTGATGGCCTCCAAAACATCGTCCAAAACTTGTCTCCCATGGGAGATCTCCAGGACCTTGGCTTCCACGTCCAGGACAAGGAAATTGAGGGTCTGGTGGGTAGTCTCTAAGCACTCGCGGCGCGTCTCTCTCGCAAAACTCGTTCGGGGGGGTCCTCTAGGCGCGCAATGAGATCGGTCAGGGCGTTAGCATCTAGCTTCGCGAGGGTGAAGTAGAACTGCTGCGCGACATTCCGAAGCCATCGGAGCGGGCCTGCCTGGGATTCCCACGCCACCCGATGCGTCTTCAGAAACTGTTTCGCTTGGACCCATTTGACCCTAGGGGGGCGCGCTCGAGGTCTAGAACTGCGTTTCAAAACCGTGTCCGTCAAACCCGCGATCGTAACTTCCAAATCCCTGGCCAGGTAGTGATAAACTTCATCAAGCACCCGTTGTTTTTCTCCCTGGATCGGTCTATCAAAACTCCTGCTGAGGATGGCTTCGGCAGCGTCTAGGGCAGCTGCTGTGGCAATCCAGTCGCGCTCTGGTATTCTGGGGCCAAAGACAGGCTTGGTAGGCAGCCGCTGCGGCTTGCGCAAGACAGGGACTGTGAAACCCTCGCCAATCTCGAGCTGAACACTGACAGGAAGATGTGGTGACAGGGGATAGGACACATGAACATGAGGTGAGTGGAGCACATGCTGGAGACATCCGCTGTATACAAAGTAATCCAAACATGATTGTGAAGTCTTGGTTCTGCATGTCGGGGAGGAGGGATGTATGATCTGCATGCCTGCGCGCTGTATGAAGTCATTCTTCTGCAGCTTGCTGGGACTCATGTTGTGTCCCCAGCTACAAGAATGGGAGTCTGGTATTCATGCTGAAGTATGGCGGTGGCCGCCGAGAGGTTCAAATTGGTCTCGTTCAGTCCTGCGCTGACCTGCATGTACACGGAAAGAATTCCCATGACACCGAGCCCAGGCAGCTCTACTCTTGCACCGACCAGGCGTCCCTGAGGAACCATGTCCTGAGCTTCCCTGGGCACTTTCATATCCTGAATCCCGAAGTCCCGCCCACTCCTGATCAAAACGCAAACTCCAGAAGTCGGGGTCCCCGTAGAGCTGAATGAGCCTGTCTCAAATAATGCTTTCCATCCATGCCGTTCACACCATTGACTAGCAAAAACGATGGACTGCTCTGTGCATAGCTTGGTCTCCTGCGCGCATATCACACTGTCGCCATCAGAGGCAGCTGAACGAATATACGTCTTCACTTGCTGCCAACAACTGCCATTGATCGTGGTGATCCGCAGGCTACCCACGAGACGAGCGAGCGCCACTCCCTTTGCCAGCTGAGGGTGCTGCAGCCGTCGCCGAGAGCTTGAGCTTCTTGCTGGCCTCTTCGCTGTCCAAGTCCGCCTTGGCAATGCCCTCCTGGCTGATCTGGAGTGCGTCGGCAGCCCGTTTGCGTGCAGCCTCCATCGCTTCATCGTCATCGTCTCCTGGGACTGGTTGGGCAACGTGCGCCAGGTCATCGTCATTCTCAGCCTTCTCACCGACCTTGGGGAGGGGGTCGGCATCTTCGTCGTCACTCGCCTTGGTGGATGCCGCGGCCTTAGCCGCAGCGTCCTCGCTCTTCTGCTTCGTCTCGATTGTCTCCAGCACCTGCGCCACCGCCAGCAAGTGCTTGTCAAGTTCTTCGGGGATGTGGTCAATTTGCTTGTCGATTCTGGTCGCGGTGAGCGTGCGCATCGCCTCGGATATGGGCACCTCCTGCACTGGCTTCTGCGCAGCCGCCTGCTGGGCCACCTGCAGCTGCACCCGGAGCCTCTGCACCTCGCCAGTCGCCTGGCCGTACTCCTCGAGCGAAGTCTTGTGCTTGTCAGCGATCGTGACCAGCTGCTGGGTGAGCTGGTTGACCGTGTTCCTGCACTGTCCATGCTTGCGTTTCGCCTGCGCCAGCTGGTCGGTGAGGCTCTGGACTTGTTGATCAGGTGTTTTGTCTTGTAGTGCCACCAGCTTTGCTCGTTTGAAACTTTCGACCGCATCCTTATACTCCTGGCTGGTGTCACCCTTCCACTGCTTCCAGAAGAACATCTGCGCCTGCGCGAGCTCAATGGCGGACCCGCTGGAGCCCTGCTGCTTGGTGCCGTCCGTGAACTTCTCGGTGGTGGTTTCTTCGCGGGCAGGTGGTTCTTCTGCGGCAGCTCCTTGGGGATCACGCGAGCGACCTCGCCACCGTCCTCCTCGTCGTCCACCTGCTTTATGCCCTGCATCTCGTTCTCCCTCGAAGTTGACTGACCGCGGGCGGCCTGGTCGTACTCCACCACCTCCTCCTGGGGGCATGTCATCGTTGGAAACCATCTTCTTCGCGGCGAACTTCGAGCCACAACGGGTGCGGTGGGAAGCCCCGCGGTCGGCCCAAGCCCAGCCGTTGCAGCCGTGCCACGGGCAGACCAAGTACTTGCCGCGCGCCATGCCGATTCCTTCAAACGCACTAGGACGATTCCCGAAACGAGTAGTGCAAGAAGACCCTTCGGGCAGGGCGGGCGGGCCACGCGCTCGCGTGGACGATACGTTGCCAAAATCGATTGGGCCCTGGCGACGGAGTGCCAAGGCTAATCGCTGGTTCTCAGGCGTCTATAGCCCTTCACAACGTTTAGCCTTGAGCCAAAATGGCTACGGGGGGGTGAGGGACGGGAGGACAGACGGAATCTGAAGGAGGAGGAGGAGGAGGAGGGAGGAAGGAGGAGGGAGGAAGGAGGAGGGAGGAGGAGGAGGAGGAGGAGGAGGATGAGGAGGAGGAGGAGGAGGAGGAGGAGGAGGAGGAGGATGAGGAGGAGAGGGAGGAGGAGGAGACGGGACAAGAAGGAGAAGGAGGAGGAGAAGGAGAAGGAGGAGGAATGGAGGAGAAGGAGGAGGAGGAATATGAATGAGGGGAAAGGAGGATGATTATGATGATGATCAGGAGCAGGAGGAGGAGGAGGAGATGGAGGGAAAAGGAGGAAAGAGGAGGAGGAGGAGAAGATGGAGGGAAGAGGAGGGACGAGGAGGATGAGGGATGGATGGAGGGAGGGATGGAGGAAGGGAGTAGGGAAGGGGGGAAGAGGGAGGGATGATGATGCTGCTGATGATGATTATGCTGATACTGAGTATGCTGATGAGGATTACGATGATGAGGACGATGATGATGACGATGCTGCTGATGATGGTAATGATACTGAAGATTAGGATGATGATGGTGATGATGATGGTGATGGTGATCGTGATGGTGATGATGATGATGATGAGGAGGAGGAGGAGGAAGAGGAGGACCCGTGCAAACCCACGAGTCCTCAACGATGTTGGAATCCACCTCCCTCCAAGCTCCCTCTTCGTATGCCCCTATAAGTGTCATTTCCATGGAGGGAACTGCCTGATGCATGCCAAAGCACCGCTCTCGGGAGTCCAACGCCACCGTTCAACCTGACTGTTGCGTTTTGACGGCCCTGAATCGTACCAGAACGCTATTCGTGGGACTTCAACAGCGCAAATCAACGTAACTGCTGCACCCTCATAATCCTGAGTTCTTCCAAAACAAAATCCCTGGTACGCTGATCATGGAAATCCGTGTAACTCTGGCAAACTTTTGAAACGAGTGTGCGCGGCGCTAAGGCGAGAGCCACATTTTGTAAAGGAACCGTCCTCAACCCGCGAAACTTTGCAAATGTTTTCAATGTTTAAAACGAATGTGCGCGGCGCTACGGCGAGAACCACATTTTGAAACGGAGCCGCCCTCGAACCGTGAAGCTCTTGCAAATGTTTAAAGCGAATGCGCGCGGCGCTAAGGCGAGAGCCACATTTCGAAAAGAAATCGCACTCAATCCTTGAAGCTCTTGCATTGTTTTACAAACGAGTATGCGCGGCGCTGAGGCGAGAACCACATTTTGACCCACCCACCCTCCATCTCTGAAACTGTTGTGAATGTTTAAGCTTCAGGGTCAATCGTGGTGAGGAAGTCTCAGGCGAAACGCCCGGATCGCCCTAAAGACTGGCCTCGGGGAGCGACAGGGAGAAGCCATTTATGAAGAGAAGGAATTGAGGAAGGAGGGAAGAGGAGGATGAGGGAGGGAGGGAGGGAGGGAGGGAGAGCGAGAGAGATAAGGAGGGATTGGATGGATGGAGGGAGGGAGGGAGGAAGGGAGGCGGAGGAGGAGGAGGAGGAGGAGGGCGGAGGGCGGAGGAGGAGGGCGGAGGGCGGAGGAGGAGGAAGAAGAGGAGGAGGAGGCGGAGGAGGAGAGAAGAAGGAGGAGGAGGAGGAGGAGGAGGAGGAGGAACGTCGCGACCTCTTCTGGCGTGCCCGCTCCCGAGAGCATGCCCCGCGGCCGCGGCAGCGCCGAGAGGGCGAGGCGGACGGGCGCCGGGCCGAGTGGCCATTTCAGGCCGCTCCGCGGCGTGGTCAGGCTGCACACCCGGCTTGTCAGGGCCTGTCCTCCTCCTCCTCCGCCGCCCCTCCTTCTCCTCCTCGCCCTCCTCCTCCCCCTCCTCCCCCTCCTCCTCCTCTCTTTCTTCTCTTCTTCTTTCCCTCCTCCTCCTCCTTCTGCCCTCCTCCTCCTCCTCTTCCTCCTGCTCCTGCTCCTCGTCCTGCTCCTGCTCCTCCTCCTCCTCAGGCTTCCTCCTCCTCCTCCTCCTCCTCCTCGTCCTCGTCCTCGTCCTCCTCCTCGTCCTCGTCCTCCTCCTCTCCTCCTTACCCTCCTCGTCCTGCATCCTCCTCCTCTCCTGAGACCTGGGCGTTGCATTTCTTTTGCGCCGGGCGTGTTCACCTGGTTTCGGGCCCCCCCGACCATCACAAGTCGATCCAGCTCGGCAAATGCCCCCGGAAGATGGGATCTAGGGCTCCAGCAGTGATTTTTTGAGATGTTGCAGTTGTTCGCGACGTCGGATCATAAGGTCCTCCTCCTCCTCCTCCTCCTCCTCCTTCCGTCCTCCCCTCCTCCTGCGTTCCGGCGGGTCGGTGTGCACGCACGCACACACCGCCCCCCTTCATCTCAGGCGACCCGGCGGCGATGGTGAAAGCAGCAGGACGTCGTCCGTCGTCGTCGTCGTCCTCCTCCTCGTCCTCCCTTTTCCTCCTCCTCCTCCTCCTCCTCCTCCTCCTCCTCCTCCCTTTTCATCCTCCTCCCTTTTCATCCTCCTCCTCCTCCTCCTCCCTTTTCATCCTCGTCGTGGTCGTCGTCCTCCTCCTCCTCCCTTTTCATCCTCCTCCTCCTCCTCCTCCTCCTCCCTTTTCGTCCTCCTCTTCTTCCTCCGTCGCCGCCACCGTCGTTGCCGCCGCCACAGTCGGCCTCGTCGCAAGGGCAGTCGCAGTCGACGACACCGTCGCCGCCGCCGTCGCCGCCGCAATCGTTGCCGCAGCCGCTACTCGTCGTCGTCGTCGTCGTCGTCGTCGTCGTCGTCGTCGTTGTCGACGTCGTCGTCGTTGTCGTCGTCGTCGTCGTCGTCGTCGTCGTCGTCGTCGTCGTCGTCGTCGCCGTCGCCGCCGCCGCCGCCGCCGCCGCCATCCCCTCCTCCTCAACTTTCTCCACTCTCCACTTCTCTCCGCAATGTACCTCCATCCTCGTCTCCTTCTTCTATCTCCTCCTCCTCCGCCTGCTCCTCCGCGCGACGGACGCATTTGCGCAGTGTCAATCCTTCTCACTCCTCGGTCCTTCCCCCCTCCTCCCCCTCCTCCTCCTCCTCCTCCTCCTCCTCCTCTTCCTCCTTCTTCTCCTCCTCCTCCTCCATTTCCTCCTCCCTCTCCTTCGCCCCTCCTCCTCCTCCTCCTCCTCCTCCTCTTCCTCCCTTTCCTTCTCCCTTCCCCTTTCCCGCTTCTTTTTTTTTTGGGGTGTTTTTTGAAAAATGTCTTGTCCTTATGATTATGATGATCCTTACTCTTAGTATTAGTGCTTATCTCTTTCTTCGTGTTCTTAGTATCATGATCATTATGCTATCCTGCTCAAAATTATTAGTCTTCGTTTTCTTATTATTCTTATTATTATTGTTACTATTGTTATCAATCTTGTTCCTCTTACAACTATGTGTGTTGCTCCTCCTCCTCCACGTTCCTCCTCTTCCCTTTTTCCCATCCTCTCCTGTACTCCCTTCCCTTCTCTCCTTTCTCCCCCTCCCCCCGCTTCGTTTTCTCCTCCTCCTCCTCCTCCTCCGTCCTTCTCCTCCTCCTCTTCCTCTCCCTCGTCCCATTCCTCCTCCTCCTCCTCTTCCTCCTCGTCGTCGTCGTCCTCCTCCTCTTCCTCGTCCTTCACTCCCACCTCCGATTGCCACCTCCATCCCCAAGCCTCTGCCCCAAAGCTTCCAGCGGAGATCCAGGAGGAGTAGAGGAGCGCGAGCCCGCAGGAGAAGCTCAGCAGGATGCCCGTGACCAGGCTCAAGTTCTTCGTGCGCTCTCCCGCCGCCACCTCGGCCGGGATGAGGAGAGGCTGAGGCTACAGCTGCGGCTCAGGCTGCGGATGATGGTGCTGCTGAAACTGTTGATGCCGATAATGCTGTTGCGTTTAGGGTTTAGGGTTTAGGGTTTAGGGTTTAGGGTTTAGGGTTTAGGGTTTAGGATTCTGGTGACGATGGCGAAAGTGATGGTGATGATACTGATCATCATGATGATGATGCCGATGATGGTTGTGGCTACGATGAGGTCGATGATGATGTGAATTGTGGCGATGGTGGCGATGATGGCGGTGGTGAGGGTGAGAATGATGATGGGTGGTGACGTTGCTGTTAGTGGTGATGATGAGGACGAAAGGGAGACGAGGAATTGGAGGAAGAGGAGGAGCTCATAACACTTCACCCCTCGGCGAAAAGAAACCGCGGCAATCTTCCTACTCGCTTCGCTGGGCGGCACGCCAGTGTTTGGATGCGACTACTTTATTCGCTGGCACTGGCGGCAACCCACATATGGGCAGGCGAACGCGCCGGGGTGGCGGCCCGCAAGTGGAACCGAAACTCCGCACGGGGAACATCATTTACCACTTAGCTCCGAGTCTGGTTTCTTCTCACGCGCGAGCGTAAGAAACACCGAGGCCCAAAGACAGAGGAGGAGGAGGAGGAGGAGGAGGAGGAGGAGGAGGAGGAGGAGGAGGAGGAGGGAGGAGGAGGGGGGGGGACCCCCAACCCCACCCCGCCTCCTCCTCCGCCTCCTCCTCCTTCTCCTTCTCCTCCCTCCCCCTGCCTTCCTCCTCCTCCTCCTCCTCCTCCCTCCCTCCCTCCCTCCTGCCCTGCCTCCCTCCCTCCCTCCCTCCTCCTCCTCCTCCTCTGCCTTCCCCACGCCGTTTAGGGGTTGGGACGCGGCGATATCTAGCTGTTGGAGCGAGCCCACCTTGACCATCAGCGCTGGAGCCGTGCATGGGGCCGGAGGAGAAAGAAGCTAGGACCGCTTCTGTCGCAACGGCCCCCAGCTGCATCAGGGTGCTCAGGCGATATCACTGCTCGAAATGGCTTGCACGCGCCGCTGCTCCTCTGCCACCCTCGAGCTTTGTTCAAGAACGCCCTCGCGCCCCTTTCCGAAATTCCCCTCTTCGCCGCCCCCGCCGTGATCTCTGTTCCGCGTTTCGCGAGACCGGCGCGCAGGACTCGATCGAGGTCTGCCCCCGTCTGCGCAGCAGCGTCGATGGCACAGTGCAGCCCGACTTCGCCCTCCGCGCGCTTGGCTTTATCCTTGCGCCCCTTGCCCTGGGGGGCCCTCGCCGTGAAATATCTGATATCCTCCGCCATGTCTTTCGCTTCCATCTTCATGGCGTGGTCCGTCCGGTGCGTCTTGAGCGCTGTTCTGCCGTGGCCGCCCCCTGCGTTCGCGAGGGGCGCCCTTGCGAAGTCTTTCCACGCCTGCAGGCGAGGGATGCCGAACCGCGCCGCGTGTACTTTGTCGTCCGTCTCGTGCCCCCCCCGCAGCTTCATCGCTACCTTGCGGCAGTCCTTGCCAGCCTCGACCGCCGCTTCGATGGAGGGGGGCGCGATGGCGATGACCGCCGTCGTGAACGCTGCGCTGATGGCAGCACTGAGGCCGCCCGCCATGCTGAGGTCCAGCATGCCGAGGATGGCCGTGCTGTTGCGCGATCCGCGCCTTGCCCGCACCTCGCCCTGCTTGGCCTCGAGCTTGTTCGATGGCCTCTTCCTGCTTGGGGCGCGTGGCGCCCCGCCCGAGCTCGCGCTTGTCGTTGGTCTTTTGCCCTCTGTGGTGCGGATCCACCGGGCATCTCCAGTGTCCCTCGTGAAATCACCCATCGTTTTCCCGCCGTCGTCTAGCCCCCCTGGCGCAGCGCGCTTGGCTGCCGGCGGTGCCCGGCGCTCGCACCTCTGGTAGATATGGGAGATGTCTGACTGCGTGGACTCTGAGCTCGAGCCGAAAGCCCGCTACGTAGTCGCGCCAGGGGCAGTCGATCGTCTTCGGGTCTCCTGGCGGGGCCACTGCCCCAACCGCATCAACTGCGCTGCAATGCCAGGCGCCAGGGCGCGCTGCCGCTGCCGAAGCGAATGCAGCTCCACATGCAATGGCTGATTGGTGGGAATAAAGAGAAAACGCATGCACGATGCGACCAGCTTGTCGAACGCGCGACGCAGAGTGCGCTATGAGTGAGGAGCTGCCTGCCGCGAGCCATCGCCCTCACCTCCACCTTTGCGCGCGGGGACTTCCTGCGCCTCGTGAATATTCTGCTGCCCCTGCTCCTTGTGGGCCTCCGCGGGTCCGATTGCGGGGGGCGGCGAGCTGCGTTTTAACTTCCGGGCCCTCGGAATATCAACATCTATCGTGTAGCGCTCCTCCCATCATTCCTGATGCATTAACCAGGCCGCCAGATGCGGGCCAGCGCGCCCTGCTGCGCTCGCGCCCCCTCCAAGCAAATCACGCGGTAGTCCGCGTCGACTTGAGCTCGTTTGGCCCGCGGGCTATTTTTCTTCAGCCGGAAAAAATTGGTTTCCGTCGCGGCCGAGTAGGCCCGTCCGCTGATGGTGATGAATGGCGCCTAGAAGATCTTGTCATTTTTGGGGTGGTCCGCTGCCGCCTGCCGCGGCCACGATGGCCTCCGCGCGGCGGCCTCCGCCTCCGCCTGGCACTTGTCCAGCGCGCCAGCGCCTCCTGGTGGGCGCGCCCTCGCAGCGCCGCCCTCCTTCCGCGCGCGAGCCTTTCCCCTTGTCGCAACCCTTGCCAATGAAACCCCCGCATTGCCGATCGCATCGCTCTGCCGTTTTGTCAAGTGATCCGCTCCCGGGGCTGACGGCGACGCATTGGCCGCTCTGCCCATCGACGCAATTCCCCTCCGCCGCCGCGGAACCCCGGCCCGGCGCGTCGCGGAAAGACCCAGTGGTGCATGATCGAATGCCGCCTTTGTCGCAAGGCTTCTCTCGCCCAGTTCCACGCCGGCGCCTTGGTCACCCATGGCAGCTGGTCCCAAATAGCGCGCTTGCTTTGGCAGAACCCAGCCCGCCTCGATCGCTGTTTCTCTTTGCATTGTTTCCCAGACATCTCCTCGCAACCCTGCTGCCCAGCCCGCGCGCGGCGATCGCTCTCACCTGCTTCGGGCGCGCTGCTCCCATGTTTGCGTCGCCCTCGTTCAGCTCGTCCCTCCGCGTGTCCAACTTGGCGTGTCTCCTGTCCGCTGGCTTGCACTGGGGTATTCTTGCTTATGTCGTCTGCGTGCGCGCCGATGCTCGAGTCGATATCCTCCTGCAGGATCGGGCACTTCACCGACGACGTCCGATCTGCTTCGTCCTCTTGCCTCCAACGCCGCGCCCGTCGCTGCTCGGCGTGCCAAGTCACTGCGCGCGGGCGCCCCATCGGGTCTCCCCTCCGTCGGTCGGAAAAGCAGCGCTCCCCTAACTGCTGGTAAAGAGACCTGTGTCTTTTCATGAGTTGCGCGGCAAATCCGCAATCTCGTGCAAGTTCAACAGCTTTTCGTCGCGTCTTTAAAGCTGTCCGCGAAAAGATCCCCCATTGCGCTGAATCGGCGCGCCGCCGCCATCGATGCCGCGATGCCCCCCCCCCTTTCCGCGTCCCTGGCGCGTGCGTGATCTGCGCGCGATAGCCTCGGTAGTCTCCTGGCAGCCATGCGGTTAGCAAGCCAACCTGTTTCCCAATGCTCTCAGAAGATGCGTGGATATCCCCTCATGCGGGCCGTGCGTCTCGAATTTCTTCGTTGGGGAGCACTCGCCGAGGCGCCGCTTCTTCGGCGCCCTCTGGCGGCGCCTTACGTTGCGCGTCGCCGTGCGCAAGCGCGCCTCGACGCGGCCGTCATCCGATTGCGTCGCGTCGCAACGCGCCCGCCAGTTCCTGATCGCGAACGGGCTTGAGGGCCATGCTGAATTACCCGGCCAGCGGGGAATTCGCCGGGCCAGCATTTCGCTTCGGGGCGTTCTTCACAGGACACATCATGATGTTGGCGCGTCTCTCTTTTTTCTAGCTGCGCGGCACTTTCGCGCTGCCGCTCCAGCGGAAAGCGCGGCTCCGCATCTCCTTCGCTCGCGTGGCCCCGTAGATCAGGAATCCGCTGCCCATCGTCTAAAGCTGCCTGGCACTCGGGCCCATCCGCGCGACCTTCTGCGACCAAAATGATCTCCGCTGCTCGGGGCCCCCCAGGGCAGCGAAGGCATATTTGTGCCCTTTGAAACTTCCATCCGCCCCCCTGCGTGGGATGCCCCAGCGTTGGCGGTCAGGGATAGAAATGATGCGTTCCTGTTCTCGCGCTGCCACTTCAGATCGTAGCTCGATATGCACGTGCGAACCGCCTCGCGCCCCAGTGCGATTGAATACCCCGCGCCGCTAAATCTCCTATCCGATGCGTCGCCCTTGCCCGTGCCAGCCCGCGTTCGCGCGATGGTGGCCCTAGCTGTGTCTTGACCCCATGGTCTGCAACTTGCGTCGCGCGTGTTGCTGCTTCTCTTAAATGTCGTCTTTGTCCTAATGCCGCCAGTCGTGCTCTGCGTGCTCCTCCGCGCGCCTGGCCCGCGACTGCTGGTCCACGCGCACTTCTTGCCAAGTTCTTGCGATGTCGATCCCGGCGTGGCACGATCCTCCACGTTGCCCTCGCGATGGTCGTTGGGCTTGGCGATGCAGGGGCGATTCCCATCGATGTCCATTGTCTCCCTCGCGTGGCCGATGCGCCGTCGCATCTCTATCGCATTCTCCCTTTTCAATCGCGTGATTTCCTCGCGCGTCGCCAATTCACCATGCCGCAGCTTCGCAAGCGCAGGGGCGCGATCTAGCAGTTGCTGGCCGGGCGCTGCCTGCGACCCCCATCCGGATCGCAGCAGAGGTCGCGCTTCTGCGCGTACCTCGTCCCAAGACGACTTCCAATGATGTGGTCCAGCATCTCAGCCTTTCCGTAGTTGCCATGCCAAGTGTGGCCTTTTTGCGTCGTCGCGCACCGCCACGCGGCGTCTTCGCAGAAATGCTTGCAGTTGCGCGCCCGCCACATGCACATGAATTTCCGTCGGTGTAAATTCCTCGCTGATAACGCCGTTCGCTCCCGTCGCTGATATGGGTCAACTCCACTGGTAAGGAAGAGCGCGTTGTGCTCGCCAGAACTCCACTGGGCCATCTGGTCAGTTGCTTGCAAATCTCCCCATCGTGCACGCAACCTGTGGCGCTTCGAGGTTTCTGAGGGTCGTGCGCGGCGGTGGCCGCGATGTCCGCGACACATTCTTGCGCCTCGTTGCGAGAACTCCCACTCGCCGCGGCGCCAGTGCACGTTGGGGGGGGGCTCTTTTAAAATGGGGCCCATGACGCCCTCCCACCCCCGCCCCCGCGCCCCCTGCCCGCCCGCCCGCGCGCGCGCGACAAGTCAGTCGGCGTGAACTTCCGCGCCCCATCCAGATTCGACGATGGGCCTGCCCGAACCTCCCGACGTGGGGCCGCGGGGGTAGCCGGGGGGGGCGGAAGGGGGCGGCCCTCAACCGCGTTCCGATCGTTCCCGCCGCGTCGAAGATCCAGGTTTTATCTGCGACGCCCTCGGCCCTGCGCCCCAGCGCCGACGGCGGGTTGCAGGCCCCGAAGAGCAACGGCAGCGCCCCCGCGGACCTGCCGGCAAGGCGCCCTGCCCTGCCTGCAAGGCAAGCAGCTTCCAGTGTCGCGTCGCTGCGTGGCGCGATGCGCGCGCGGCGGGGTTCGGCCTCCGCTCTGCCCCAACGGCCCGACCCTCAGGGGCTGGGGGGGGCGGGGGCGGGGAGGGAAAGGGGAAGGAGTTGACGAAACGAAACGGTTTCCCGATTGGTGGTCTCCGTTCCATCGCGATCTCACCCCCCAGCCTCCGACTAACAGATGATGTAACATAATACAACTAATAATAAGGAAAAGAAACATGTTCACTGCGTCTAGCTCTATTCGCATGGACCTGTCCGCCGTGAGTCTCTAGGCACAAGATTTTCGAACATAAACGGGCTTGAATATTGATGGTCTGGGATGAATCTAACGGCGAATGAAGTGGAGTGTGAATGACTCTCAGTAGTACGAGCGCTTCTCTGCTCATGAGCCTGGGGCCTCCTGGGGCGTTCTGAAACCTCCTGGGGCTTCCTGTGGCCTCCTGGGGCCTCTTGGGGCCTCGCGTGGCCTCCTGAGGCCTCCTGGAGCCTCCTGGGATCTCCTAGGGAGGATTCGTGCCCCAGGAGAGGCCCAAACTGTAGGAAGAGTCGTACATAAAACATTGCGGATTGGAGCCGCACGAGAAGGGCAATCGATAGGAACACGACACCAAGGACTCGTGCCCCAGAGGAGGCCCAAAATATAGGAACATACGTCACATACTTAGTATGGATACGTAGGAGAGGGACCATCGATGGAACCGTACGTATAACATCAAGGACTCGTGCTCCAGGTGAAGCCCAATCTAAAGGAGCGTACGTAAAACACATGGGATTGTAGCCACTCCTGTGGCCTTCTGAGGCCTCCTGCTCCTGGGCCTCTCGGGGCCTCCTGTTGCCTTCCGGGGCCTTCTGGTGCCCCCTGGCGCTTCCTGTGGCCTCCTGGGGCCTCCTGGGACCTCTTGGGACATCCTGTGGCCCGCCTCCAGATGCCTCCTGGGGCCTCCTGGAACCTGCTTGAGCCTCCTGTGGAGAACCTGTGCCCACGAGTCTGGCCACCAAAGCAGGCAAACCGATAGAGACATCCTGAAACTCTGGCCCCCCTTGGGGGCCAAAGTGAGCGCCTCGCTCGAGACATCCTCCAAATCTGCTCCGAACGCGGAGGATGTTGGGCATGCAAACGGGCAAACCGCTTGTTATTCCCCGCCACTTTGGCGAGAACGGAGGCCGTTAGATACCCCTGGCGGCTCTCCCTTGGGGGTGCTCACACCTGCGCCTCGCTCGAGTCATCCTCAGAATTTGCTCCGCCATCATCATCATCATCATCATCATCATCATCATCATCATCATCATCATCATCATCATCATCATCATCATCATCATCATCATTATCATCATCATCATCACCATCACCATCACCATCACCATCACCATCACCATCATAATCATCATCATCACCATCATCATCACCATCATTATCATCATCATCAGCATCATCATCACCATCATCATCGTTATCATCATCATCATCATCATCGTTAGCATCATCGTTAGCATCATCGTTAGCATCATCGTTAGCATCATCATCATCATCATCATCAACAACAGCATCACCACCATCATCAGCAGCAGCATCCTAGAACATCCCCAGCCATTGGATATGCGGAATAACACACCTTGACCCAGCATAACGTAATATAACATACCAGACCATAGCATAACATACCATACCATAACATACCATATCATACTTATCGTCGTCAGTCGGCATCATCGTACTCTGAGTGCATCATCATACTCTGAAAAGAATGGGGAAGAGAGGGAAGAGGGGAGGAGGAGTGAGGTCCGAGGCGTCTACGTAATAACAAAAACCCCATCTTGGGAGATGGGGAACAAGAAAGCAAACAAGAAGACACCACGCCATAACGGCGCACAGGCAGACACATGGACCATGCCATTCCATGCGTGCCGGCCTGCAAACGAACGCATGGTTGTAGTGCCTCGGAAAACCGTCTCTGAAGCCTTCCTTACACGACGTGAGACTCCGAGGCCCCGACTGGCCTCGCTGCCTTGGGCCCATGTGGCTACGGACGGACGAAGGGGGGAGGGAGGGGGGGAGGGAAGGAGGGGGGGGGAGGGAGTGAGGAGCGACCGTGTGGGCGGGAGGGATGGGGAGCGGGGGGATGGAGGGAAAGACGGCGTTCCGCTGTCAAACGAGTCAGCGGACACTTCGGAACGCGAGGCGGCGAGCAGGAGGGAGGGAGGCAGGGATGAGGAGGGAGGAGAAGGCGGAGCAGGGAAAAGAGAGAAGCAGGGAGGCAGGAGCAGGAAAAGCAGGAAAAAGGGAGGAGGGACAGGGCTGGTGGTTTTCGTGCTCTCCCCCGCCACCTCGGCTGGGGCCACCTGTGCCGCGGTGAAGCCCATGCGCCCATCCTTGGGCATCGCTGGGCACGAAACCAGGGATGGGTAGCGCACGGCCATGCATGTTCACCTCCTTTTTCCTATACCTATACCCCCCCTCCTCCTCTGAGTGACTTCCTCCATGTCTGGGGAAGGGGGAACGGGAAGAACGAGGTGGATATCTGTACAGAGTTGTCTCTCTCCTGAATGACGTGGAAAAGCAGGAAGATGAGAAGGTGGAGAAAAGGAGGACGACGGAATGAAAGGCATCCGCCGAAAAGGGAGGAGCGGCAGGAGGATGAAGCACGAAGGGGCGTACACATATCAGCAAGCCCCAGAGGCCTCCGGAAACGCTTCTGGGGGCCTTCTGCAATCCTACTACTACCACCACCACAAACACCACTGCCACTACTACTACTACTACTACTACTACTACTACTACTACTACTACTACTACTGCTGCTGCTACTACTACTACTACTACTACTACTACTACTACTACTACTACTACTACTACGACTACGACTACTACGCTACTACTGCTACTACGACTGCTAGCTAGTAGTAGTAGTAGTAGTAGTAGTCGTAGTAGTAGTAGTAGTAGTAGTAGTAGTAGTAGTAGTCGTAGTAGTAGTAGTAGTAGTAGTAGTAGTAGTAGTAGAAGTAGTAGTAGAAGTAAACCTACTACTACTACTGCTACTACTATTACTACTACTGCTACTACTACTACTAGTACTACTAGTCCTACTAGTACTACTAGTACTACAACTACTAGTACTAGTAGTAGTAGTACTACTACTACTACTGTTACTACTACTACTCCTGCTACTGCCACTACTACTACTCCTGCTACCACCACTACTACTACTACTATTACTACTACTACTACTACGACGACGACTACTTCTACGACTACTACTACTACTACTACTACTACTACTACTACTACTACGACTACTACCACAACTACCACCACAACCACCACTACTACGGCTACTACTACTACTACGACTACTTCTGCTCCTACTACTACTACTCCTACGACTCCTACAACTATTACTACTCCGACCACTACTACTACTACTACTACTACTACTACTACTACTACTACAACTACTACTACTACTACTACTACTACTACTGCTAGTACTACTGCTGTCACTACGACTACCACTACCACTACGACTACGACTACTATTGCTACTACTGCTGCTGCGACTGCTAGTGCTACTAAAACTACTACTACTACTACTGATCCTATCACTACTACTACTACTACTACTACTACTACTACTACTACTACTACTACTACTACTACTACTACTACAACTACTACTCCGACTACTACTACTACTACTACTACTACTACTACTACTACTACTACTACTACGACTACGGCTCTCATACGACTACCAGTCGTAGTAGGAATGATCGTAGTAGTACTACAACTACTACTTCTACCACGGCAACACCGCGACAAGAACACCAACTACTACGAATGCTACCACGACCAGTACTGCCACTACTACTACTACTACTACTACTACTACTACTACTACTACTACTACTACAACTACTTCTGCTACTACTACTACTACTACTACTACGACTATGACTACTACTACAACTATTACTACCACTGCTACTACTGCTACTACTACTACTACTAGTACTACTACTACTACTACTATTACGACTACTACTACTACTACTACTACTACGACTACGACGACAACGACTACTACTACTACGACAACTACTACTACTACGGCTATAAGCGCTACCGCTACCAGATCCACTACCAGTTTTACTACCACTACCGCTACACTGGCACCGCTACTACCACTAGCACAGCTACTACCACTACTGCTGCCACTACGACCATTACTACTACTACTACTACTACTACTACTACTACTACTTCTACTACTACTACCGGGGCGACGACGACGTTGACGACGACTACAACTACTACTACGATCACTGTGGCGATTCCTAGTCTAGTAGGAGTCGTAAAAGTAGTAGTGCACCTACTACTACGACTACCAGTGCTTCCTCTAGTACGACTACTACTACTATTATTTCTACTGCCACTACTACTGCGACGGCCACTACCACGACTACTACGACTACTTCTACGACTACTACTACTACTACTACTACTACTACTACTACTACTACTACCACCAGCACTACTACTACTACTACTACTACTACTACTACTACTACTACTACTACGACTACGACTACTACTACTACTACTACTCCTACTACTACTACTACTACTGCTACTACTACTACTACTACTTCTATTTCTACTACTACTACTACTACTACTACTACTTAGACTACGACGACTAGTACTATCACTACAGCAGCAACAGCAACAACTACTACTACTACGACCACCACTACCATTACTACTAATACTGCTACTCATGCTACTACCACGACTACTGCTACTGGTATTGCTGCTACTACTACTACTACTGCTACTACTACTACTACTACTACTACTACTACTGATAATACCACTACAACTACTACGCTTACGACTCTTACTACGATTGCCACTACTACTACTACTACTACTACTACTACTACTACTACTACTACTACTACTACTACTACCACTACCACTACCACTACCACTACCACTACCACTACCACTACAACTACTATTATTGCTAATACTACCACTACTACTACTACTACTACTAATACTACTACTACTTCTTCTGCTGCTACTACTACTACTACTACCACGACTACTATTACTACTACTATTACTACTACTATTACTACTCTTACTACTACTACTACTACTGCTACTACTACTACTACTACTACGACTACTACTACTACTACTATTATACTACTACTACTACTACTACTACTACTACTACTACTATACCACAACTATTACTACGACCACCACGGCTACTACTACTACTACTACTACTACTACTACTCCTACTACGATTACTACTTCTACTACTACAACAACAACAACTACTACTACTACTTCTACTACTACGACACTTCCACCACTACTACTACTACTACTGCTGCTACTACTACTACCACTACTACTACTAGTACTGCTACTACTGCTACTAATACCACTACTACTACCACTAGCACTAGCACTACCACTAGTACTACTAGTACTACTAGTACTACTAGTAGTACTAGTACTAGTACTAGTACTACTACTACTACTACTACCACTACCACTACTACTACTACTACTACTACTACTACTACTACTACTACTACTGCTACTACTACTACTGCTGCTACTGCTACGAATGCTACGACTGCTAGTACTACTGCTACAACAAATTATCCTCCTCCTTCGACTGGTGTTTCCCGATTGAAGAATCCTCAGGTATCCGCTCTTCCTCTCCCACGCCAGGGATCTGCATGCCGTCGAACTCGCCCCGGCACACCAGTGGTCCCAGCCGGCTCCTCGGCTCAAGGCTAAAGGGGCAGGAGGGGGAAGGAAACGGTGGTGGGTGCGAGAGATTGGGAGGAGCAGGAGGTCGCGGCGACAACGGGGACCGACTGACTGGCTGACGCGCCCATGAACTGGCGAGATGCACGAAGTAGACGCAAAGCCACATTGACTCCGACGGTTTCTCCTCCCCGCTGTCGTCTTCCAATCATAGGATACGACGGCAAGGGGGAAAATATGAAGGAGGAGCAGCAAAGAGGAGACGCTGGGGGAATGACAGTGCCCTGGGGGCGACGCGTGTCTCCGAGTGGCGGCTGGGAGCGTGGCGCAAGAGACAACTAGTGTCAAGTAAAGGCACGGGATGCACTAGGTGCGGACGCGACGGCGTCAGGCGTCGGGGAAGCAACTCGCTTCATTATGTGGTAAAGATGGAAAGCGAGAGAAACCCGCTGGACTGTGCTGAACAGGGAAAGATCGCTCTCTCGGTCATCATGGCAAGCGGCAGCCGGGCCCAGTGCCCATGCAGTGTGCTGTTGGAGGGGAGGGGGGGTCAGGGGACCAAGGGGGGCTCGCGAGTGCGGGGCAGGGTATCTACTGGGAAAAACGGGTCCAACTCTTCGGAACACCCGCGGACGCACTTGCGCTGGATGAACACATGCATGAGGTGAGGGGGTGTCCAACCCCCACTCAGTGTCTTGAAAGTGGCCCACCTCCAGCTCGGGCGTGCATGAGTGGAAACTTGCAAGCGCGCCTTGAGCTCGGGCAGGGTTGGTGGCGACAATATGCCCCATGCTGTGAGGCGCTTCTGTAGAGTCACAGTGACGTCGAGGCAAAAGTGGATGCGCGGAGCGATGCAGCGACCACCCTCTGTACTTTTGGCTTTCTGGGTGGGTCCGCCGCCTTCACGTTCCTCAGTTCTCTGTAGGCAGCGCGAATCACTGCAGCTGCATTGCGAGCGCTGAATAGGGCTGCGGCGCGGCCTCTGCGCAGTGACGCACACAATTCGACGACGGCGCGCATTTCTTCCCAGAGTGGGGGTGCCACGAGCCATCGAACTACAGATTCGGGAGCGGCTAAGAGGGGGGTGTCCAAGAGACGGGGGGGTGCAAATCGTGACCGGTGACATGTGCGCGGCCTAGCGGGGGGACCAGGGACGCAATGGAATAAGAAGAGGCGCCACGAAATCTGGGGAAATATCCTGGCCCCCGCCATGATAGCCCCCCCCCTAGTCATCACCCCCCTCTTTGCCGCCCCCGAATGTTTTAGACATCTGGAAATGATCTGGCAGCCTCCTCCTCCTCCTCCTCCTCCTCCTCCTCCTCCCTAGTCACCCCCCCCCCTCTCTGCCGCCCCCGACCGATGGGGCGCATGGAAGGATTCCCGGTCTGCCCCCGGCGCGCGAGCAGCAGGAGCCGAGCCCGCGGCCGCGGTGGCGGCGGCCCGAGCCGAAAGAGGCACGGGCGGCGGGCCCCACTTGAAGGGGCCCTGGGACACATAAGTAAACACACACAAATAAAAGATATCCCATATGTTCCCATATTTGTTTTTTTTGTCCTCCCCCCCACTTCCCATATTTTTCCATATTTTCGGGGGATCGACGATTCATTGTGTCTGTGTGTTTTTTTCCCTCCTGACCACTCACCTGTGGCAATGAGGTCGACTTTGCGGAACGAGACGGAAGCATGCCGGGCATCCGGCAAAGAGAACACACGAAGCCAGCGGGGAGAAGCGAGCGACGTAGCCGAGAGCCGTGGAGGCTGAGGTGTTCTGTGGATTCGGGCCGCGGCGTCGCTGCCACTCTGCGCCATGCCACCCGAGCAGATTAGTTACGCGCCCCGCTGCCACCACTTTTGCCAAGGGGGGGCGAGCCATCAGTCGGGGATGGACAGAACCCCCTTTAGCAAAACGTGGTTTAGTGACAACGACCTGGGGCCCAAACCTGGAGGGCGCAAGCCTGGAAAATGGCGGCCGCGGCGCCCTCTCGAGAACCGAAAACGGACAATTCACTAATCGACGTGTCAGGGTGGGGGTTCTGTCCAGCCCCGAATCAGGGGCCCCCGGGGGCACCGAGGCAGTTGGCTCGCCCCTCGATCGACAAACGACGCCCCGGGAGGGCCCGAGCTCGGCCTGACGGGGCCTGGTTTGGGCAGCGGTGGCCAGAGAGGCACGTCCCCGCAACGACGGCGCCGCACGCGTTGCGAGGCTCGAGCGACAGCCGCGCGAGGGCCTCGGCCGATCGAGAGGGATCGGGGGCCCTGCGCAGCGCGTCGAAGTCGCGCGCCAGGAAGCCCGAGGAGGAGGAGGAGGAGGAGGAGGAGGAGGAGGAGGAGGAGGAGGAGGAGGAGGAGTTTTACCCCCGCGTGCTCAGGCGTGCGCATTGGTGCCAGGGGTCTCGGCACCCAGGCCAGGCTCGGAGGAGGAGGAGGAAGAGGAGGAGGAGGAAAAAGAGGAGAAGGAGGAGGATGAAGAGGAAGAGGAAGAGGAAGAGGAAGAGGAGGAGGAGGAGGAGGAGGAGGAGGAGGAGGAGGAGGAATCTGGTCGCCCTGAGGAGCTGTCGTCGGCGCAGGCTCTCACGTGGCCCTGTTCAGGCGCGGCGCGCCGTCGGGGTGCTCGAGGGGGGGGGGGGGGCGATGCGGCGCGTCGGCGGGTCAGCGGGCCCATCGCGAGAACCCGAGCCGATCCGCTGGCGGGGCAGCCCTTGTGGGCCCCCGGCTCGAGCGCGGACGCGCGACGATGCACTCCGCCGATGTGGATGAGGCTGTCCGGCGCGTGGCAGAGGGCGCCCGACAGGTCGGCGCAGCCGACCCGCCCCGGCGACGGGAAAACGGCCGCAAACTCAGGCTGGCGTTAAGTCGGGCCTGTCCCCCATACAAGGCGATTTTCGACGAAAAATAAAGAATGCCAAAAAACATCACCCTAAAATTGTCTGGGGGCTATTTCCGAATATTTTTTGACGTTTTTGGAGCAGTTTTGGTGTATTTTGCATTTTTCGTCGACAGTCCCCCTGTAGGGGGACATGGCGCACGCGGGGAAGCGGGCCCGCGCGCGGGGTGCCGCGCCGCGCGCCGAGTCTCGGCATCGGGGCGGGCGATGCGCCGTGAGCAGCGGCGGCCCCTGGCGCCTCCCCGTTGGGCCTGATGCGTGCGCTGTTGGGTGGCGCCTCTAAGCTGGGGGTTCGGCTGCCCCCGCGATGGCTCTGGTGCCCGCGCTCTCGTTCGGGAGCGGCAAAGAGGGGGGTGTCCAAGAGGGGTGCAAATCATGACCGGCGGCGTGTGCGCGGCCCAGCGGGGGGGCCAGGGACGTAATGAAATAAGAAGGGGCGCCATGAATTCTGGGGAAATATCCTGGCCCCCGCCATGATAGCCCCCCCCTAGTCATCACCCCCCTCTTTTCCGCTCCCGACTCGTGCCAGAGCGGGCGCGCGCCCCTGGGCTCGCGGCCAGTCGGGTTGCCTTTTCGGGGGGCAGGCGAAGTCGGAGTCGTCGGGGTCGCGGGCGAAGCGTTGGCCCGAGCGGGGGAAGGAAGATGGCGAGGCCCTCGAGGGCGAAGGGCGAGGTGTCGCGTGCGAGCCAGGTAGCGCGCGGAAGGCAATCGGGCGCAGGCGAGGACGCACGCGCTCTGATCAGGAGATTGCGGATGGCGGCCTTGGCGGGGGCGCCGATATGGCGGGAGCGCCGATATCGGGCGCTCGATGATGCGCTGATTGACCTTCCTTCGTCGCGTCGGCCTCTCCGTGGCCGAAGATGGGCTGCCGGTGCGCGCGGAGAGCAGCAGCCGTGGCCGAGCTCTCCCCGGCGGTCCCTGCGGGCCCCGCAAGGGCCTCGAGCTTGGGTTCCCTGGACAACAGGCCTGCGCTCCTCCGCGGTGGTCCCAGAGGAGAGCGCGCCGCCGGGGGCGCCGGGCGGCCCCGCGAAGCTCGTCGGGGCCCGCGGGGCCGGCCTGAGACGACGTCCGTTGGGCCGCCTGCTCCGCCGGACATCGCTGCCGAGCCTGGCGGTCGCGGCGGGGGGCGGGGGGCGGCGCGGCGAGCTCCGAGCCGTGGGCGGGGCAGATGCGGTCGCCCTCGCGCGCGGTGAGCTCGGCGCCGAGCTCTGCGGCGGAGTGGAGGCGAAGGGCGAGTCGTCGGTCTCGCCGCCAGATCGCTCGGCATGTCGAGCTTGCCGCGAGCGCCCTGCCGCCGAGGGGCCCGCGCGCGGCGTTCTCGCCGCTCTCGAGTCGCGTCCTGTCATCGCGAACCAGCCGCGCGGCTTCGTTCGTCAGCCGCTTGTGGGGTCGCCGGCGGGACGCGGCGGGGGTCGCGACGAGTCGGGCGCGTCGGCGAGCTGCTGGAGGCGCTCACTGCAGCGCGGGTCGCGGAAGATCGCCCGGTGGATGGCTCGTTCCGAAGGCGCGGTCTTTGGCTCGATGGCAATCGGGACAGAGAGGGTCGCGCGGTCGCTGAAGCGGCGGTCCGAGGGGAGGGCGGGGTCGCAATCGATCGCGACGTCGGCAGTGAGCATCGCGCGGTCGAAGGCGAGGGCCGCGCAGTCAGCTTTCTGTTGAAGCGCGTCGGGAGGTCTGCCTCGATCCTGGGCGTTCTGTCGAGGTGCGACTTCCAGGATCGCTGCTGCCGGCGGGGCGCGGCCGTCGAGACGGAGAGGCGCGCCCCGCGGGCGCGGCCGGGGGGCGTCGCCCGGCGGGCGGCGGGCAGCGCTGCAGACTCCACTTGCGACGAAGGCGAACGCGGGGCGGTTCCGTTCCATGCAGCGCGGACCTCGCCGCGGCCAGCTGCCGGGACCTCGCAGTCGTGGGCGCTCAAGACGACGGCTGCGTTGCCCGCGGTCGCGCCGATGCCGGCGGCCGCCTGCGCTCGGCCAGTGGCGATCGGGCCGCGCGAGACAGGATCGGAGGCGGCTCGTCGTTGAGCCGGGCGAGCTGCGCGCGGGGAAACGTGGGCGCCAGCGTCGCAGCCCCGCGTGAGCATCTGAGCGGAGCCAGTTCACAAGGGTGCTTCGGCTCTGAAATGACAGGCCCAGAGCTGGAGCCATGGCGGGGGGCCTGTGGCGGTCGAGGTGCCTCAGGAGGGCCCCGTGGGAGCTCCAGGCGGGTCCTTAGCCGACGCGGGCACCCCAGGGGGTCCTTATCCGAGGCA